CCCCCCCCCCCCCCCCCCCCTCCACCCCCTCCTGACCCTACTCGTACAACAGCTCCTCCACAAGCTTCTCGATATTTTTCTTGCTACTTGTTGCTTTGCTCGTGACAACCTCCCCTTCCCGAAAGGTAACGAAGGAAGGCACGGCCGTCAGGCCTAGTTGTCGCGCCAGTTCGGGGTGAGTGGACGCGTCGACGCGCCCGAACAACACCTGTTCTTGTCTACGCGCCAGCTTGCGGTAAAACCTGTTGGCAGCAGACAAGGTGATGCGGAGCCCGCAGAGCAGTTAATGGGGACTGTAATTGTGGGACGGTTTTCCGGCAAGATACTTAACACTACAGGGGTCGTCTTGTACGCTTTTAAGGGGTCGTTTTGTCATGAAGCTGATGGACGTCGGAGGACATGCAGAACAGCACCATGATCATTGAACACGCCTTCCGCATAGCATTGTAATCTGGCACACCGAAACCGGCACTATGGAATGGACGGTGGACGGGGGCGCGACAAGCAGGCACCCAAAAGGGGTTAAAGCCTCCTCGCCGCTTGGATTGGCGGTATATATTCCAACTCGGCACACCTGCACCGCCGTGCCAATCCGTTTCAGCCGCGCGCCCTCGAAACAGCCGACAAAACCAACTACACAAGAGGGTCTGCGGTGCGCTCAACGAAGACGCTTCTAACTTTACCCCGGCCACACAAACTCAGCTGCTGCACGGCGGCGAGGAACAGTCCCTGCGGTTCAACGTGTGACCCCAAAGAGCCAAGCCCTACGCAAGCACGAATAAAACTCATCAAATTCGAGAAATGCTCACGGCGTTAGGTACTTGCAGGCCCGGCAACTCCTCGAGCTCACGAAAACTATGGTTCCCCCTTCCCTCACGAGGTCCTTCAAGTCTTGCCGGCTCTTCAACCCCACCACTTCTCCCGTTGGCGAGACAGCCCTACCGCCGTCTCCCTCTCCCCCCTCGCCCTCCCACTCGTCGTCCTCCTCCTCGTCCTCGTCTTCCCAAGCGAGCCTTTCGTCGAGACTATCCCCCCCCAGCCAACCCCAAGACCGGTTCGTCTTTCCTGGAAAGCCGAACCTGACAAATAATTGGAGCGAGAGCGGGTGGGCGACACGCGAGTGAGTATTTCCTCCGAAGGACGGACGGGCTGCTGATCTCAGCTGATATACACGTAGAATACCACCCCCCCCTCGCCAAGCCAGAAGGAGGAGTGGCTGTACATGGGTTGCGGATAACACAAGCATCATGCAACAACCGCTCTGTCATCCTTGACTCCCGTTTTCTTGTGTGCCTGAAGCGCAATCATGCTTCTCCTTTCGTGTCGCGGGAGACGCCCAGCGGGGTCCACGTCGTGCAAAGAGTGTACTTCTACTTGTTTTCAGCCCGAGTTGGTTGTGAGAAAAACATTTTCTCGTGTTGCGTGCCGATGCACTCTTCACTGCAACACAAACAAGATAACAAGATTTCGGGTCAAAGAAAGAAAAACAGAGAAGTCAAGCGCGGGTGCAAATGCAGCATGGCTGACTCATACTTAAACAGGAACGTAGTGTGTTCACTGTTTTGAGGACCCTTCGGGTCCATTTCATCTTGAGAACACCTCTTTTAGGTCAAGCTAGCCTGTGTCCACGGGAATCGGCCGCGTCCAGTGTTACTATATCAGTGCGGACAGATGAGGGTACTTGGTAGAGGGATTGGAACGGTTTCAATCGTGAAGACCACAGCACAAAAAAAAAAAACAAGCAGCAGCAGCAGTGGCGGCTCTGCGGGCGGTTCTTACCGCAGGCCGGTGTCGGTGTCCTTGGGCCAGGCCAGAGCCTCCAGGTACTCCTGCATACCCACGTAGTCCGTGCCGACCTCCCCTAGCCGCACTTTCCCCGCGGCAACCAGCGCCGAGACCTGCGAGACCAGCCCCACCGCCTCCGGGTTCGGGAGGAAGTACGTCCTGCTGTCGTCCTTCGCGACGGTCTTCTGATACTGCAAGATCTTACCCGACCCAAACAGCAGACCGTCTTCCACTGCCACCTTCGGAGAACGAGAGGGGTGGGGCGAACTCTCGTGTTTGGACTCCCTAAGCAAGGCAAGCAAGTTTAATACGAAAAGAAAAGAGCAGGGAGGGCGCACGCAGACCCTAACCCTAACCCCCAACCTCTGACTTAGCCGATTGTATACTTTATGTAGTCTAGGCAACAAAAGCCAAAAGCTGTCTGGTCTTTGACTGACGAGCGTGGCTTCGCCCCGAATGCATTCTAGTTTGAGCGATCGGCGTGTTTCTCGGATATACCGTGGTCCATGTATGCCTTTCCAGAGTAAAAACAGGCCTGCAACTAAGTGAACATACCCTTACCACTATTTCTTCGTCTTGTAAAATAAACGAAATCCACGCAAGTCAACTGCCACAACACACCAAAAAACATTGCTGTGCTTACACCTCCGACAAGAGGGCTTTCGGCTCTACGAGCTGTATTCGCAGGGACTACTATTTGTACCGGGTACACGCGCAATAAAAATCAATCGTTGAACAACAACAGAATGCTCTGCAAACCGAGTTGTCTTCATTTACCTTCAGGATGGCGGGTTGAAGGGAGACGTACTCGGCCCCTCTTGCCTCCTTCAGCATGTCCTGCGGCCCTTCCTTCTCCCTCCCGAGAGTGTCGACCACGGCGCTAAAGTCTTGCACCACGTCGCTGTAGCTCTCCTTCCGAAAGTCCACCGCTAGGTCTGCCCCCAGCGCTCGCGCCCCCCTGAAGAGACACAAGCAAGCGCGCGTAACCCCCGCGGGCGAACCAAAATAAACGTACGGCGTATAAAACTACAAAATGAGCGCTTTGGTCATGCCCGTGATCTCGATCTACTCCTGTAGTGCACGCACCCGCCAACGCTTCACAAACGGTCGTCTAGGAGCACAACGGCGGTGATGGTGATAAGCATCTGATGGAGGAAGGGGGGCTGTTTCGCCGTCCCTTGGTTGTGGGACTTGAGAAAGTTCACTAGCCGCCGCCGCCACGGCTCATTTTTGCCTCGCGCGTGGCTTGAACGCCTCCAAAATGTGGGGCGATTGGTTGCTGTGCCGCTCGCTGGCCAGGGCGCAAGAAGTTTTCGTGGAGCACCGTTTCGACTACCGTTTTCAGGCTGGACTGCGCTATGCTCTGAGAGTAGCTGTTGTGCGTGGGGTCAAGGCGTTTGGTGGGCCATTCAAGAGTAGCAGCGGAATTCGGGTTCTGTCTGTCTCGCGCATGTACCGAGGTGTAAGTACTCTTCGCGTATACCGTAGTAGTGGCACCTCCGTGCGCAGGTGTGGGATGGAGAATAGCGCACAAGCTGCTTGGTTTGAGGTCCTTGCGCGGGTCCGGTCCCACTAGCAGCTACCTGAAAGGCCGCGGGCAGCTACTTAGCGACACATGGCAACGATAGAAGATCCCCATCACGCAACAACGCTCCCTTACGCTTCGCTTTTGGTCGTCGCCAGAGCCACCCGCCCCCCCCACGCCTTCAGGACGGCGACAACGAAAGGAGCCAGGCTGCCATGGCCTCCCGTCACGACGAACGTCTGTCCAGCATCCATGGAGTCGCCGAACCCCGCCTCCGACAAGGGCCACAGACAACTTATCGCCTTGGAGGATTTGTAGAGGAAACGGCGAGAAAACGAACAGGAACATGTGAAGACGCAAATAAGTATGTTAGTTGGTCCCTGTTGTTCTCAAGCAATTAACGCAGCCGGAGGCAAGCACAAGCAGCAAGCGAGATACAGGCAGGCATACTTACTCATCACGACATTTGATACGATTTGGCGCGGAGGCTGTTGTAGTACTTCACACTTGAGGCATCCGTGCATGTGCAACAATGCCGGCTTTCTCACCAGGAAGGGCAGCATCGCAGCCTTGTCCCAGCCCAGGCACGGGGGCTTGTCTACGAGGTGGCGTTCCTCGACGAGCACCGAGCCGCCCCCGGGGTACTTCCCAGGCTTGACCACCCCGATCACTTCTCGGCCATCGTCCAGCACGCCGGATATCGTCTGCATCAAGACCAAGCCGTCCTTGTTCCCGTTCTGGTCGTACCCGCTGGCGTAAAAGGTGCTGCCGCAGCCAGAAAGCTGCGGTCGTCGTCGACGTCGTCGTCGGCGGCGGCGGCAGTCGGGTTCGGTTCGGTTCGTGCGAAGGGGGTATGGTTCATGTACCCGTCGTTAGTCGGTTGGTTGGACAACATGGTTACTAACCAGACTAGAGACCCTTTGCTATATATTGTTGGTTCTGGGTTGGGAGGCTCCTTTTGTCATGTTTGCCTTTGAATTTTGTTGAGACTGAGCTGAATCTGTCATGTTCGCCTTTGAATTGTCGGGAGGGACTGGCCTCAATCTGCCCCGCCCCAGTCCTTCGCCGGTCTCTCGAGACAAGCATATAGGTCTGTGTACCCTGCATCTCCAAGAAAGCAACAACTCATCATCAGTGTTCGATGACCAGAGCCCGTAAGGCCGCGGGTATTCCCGCCCCTGGCGGAGAGTAGAGCAGCTGTGTTTTCGTCTACCCTTGGCAACCAAGTTGAACCTTCGTTGGCACCACTAGTCTATGCAAGTTCTTCTCTCCTGCGCGCTCAACTACGCGGAAGCGAGACCCAACTGTTGTCCTGCATCTCCTTGTCCCTGCGCACACCTGATATACATCGACAGGGTTCCTCGTGCTGTGCTTGATCTGGACGCTGATGCTGCTGGAGCCCCTCGTCGCTGCTGCTTCCATCGCTGTAGCTACAACCAGCTGTTTATCACAAGAACCTCCGCTGATCGTCCCGCAGAGGAATGCTGTTGACATGCGGAAGGAACAACAACATATGAGCAGCAACAAGGAAGTTTTCCAGCAGATCATACATCCTAGTAGCCGAATGACTTGTAGCCACGAGCACCTTCCTCGTCGTTGGCTGAACGGGATGATGGCGCAGTTCATGAAGGCTAAACTTAATGTTTCTGCTGGCTGTGGGTATGGTATCAAGCGTTTTGGTGGTCCACTGTAGTGGGGGCTCCGTAGATTAAGGTTCGGCGTGGATCCATTGCTGCTGCTGCTGCTGTCCTTGGATCGTTGGATCTGTCGGCTGTGGCAGGTGCAGATCTGGGGCGCGTTGGGCCGTTCACTCGCGAGAGAGATGGACTCGGACGAGAAGTAATCCCAAGGGCAGCTACTTGCCGGCTGTAATTGCACGATTGCACGTGGGCTGATGGACGAACAGCTTCCACCAGCTTTGTCCGATAAGTTGTACTGCTCCTGTTGCCTAGTGTAGACCGACCGGCTCGGTAAGATTAGACTTCCAACTTGACTACAGCAGTAGTAGAAGCAGGGCGACGCGGATCGCACATGCATACCTGGACGACAGGACTTGCCGTAGAAGCACACTCTGACCGACGGCATAATCTAGATCGCCAAAACCGACGGCATAATCTAGATCGCCCAACAGGGGTGTCGCACTTCTAGCATCCAGGGAACCAAGGCACCGAACCTTCACGATGTAGTCTAGACTACTTATGTGTGCGCATTCCACAATGATGTAGGTCTATACTTCCCGGGAATCTCTGTGCGGTAGAGGGTCACATTAATCAATCGGGTGTTGGTAATTCTCCTCGCCGGACCACTGTTGTTGTTGTTGTTGTTGTTGTCTTCACATTAAAAACCATCCCGGTCTCTCTATCCAGTACCTCCTTCTGTCTCAATCTCTCCGTACTAATCCATCACTTGACTCGGCCAATTTCCGTGGTCACAGGCTAACGTACCTAGAAAAGGTATACCAAAATAAAATGGA